CGCCTCCATTTCCAGCGGTCAAACACGACTCCCTCCCTCACCCCCCCCCAACCCCCTGTGTATCACATAACAACAATATGCCCTGATTGAAATCTATTTTTTGTTGAACAACCAGCTTTGAGGATGAACGGAGGTCGGTGAGAGTTGAAGGGGGTTAGGGCTGTTATTTTTCGCGGATCTCCATAGGTCACAGGTTGTCAAAACAGTGAACGAAAAACAAGTTCGCGACTTCAGTTTGGTCGTTTTTCGCATGGTTTAAAGGAATTCGTCACGCGGAAACAGGCCCTTCCGAAAGACTGGTAAAATATATAAAATAGTACCTGAATCAGGTAGACGATTCCGATAAGGCAAAACACCAGTACAGCTATGGAAAATACGAGAACAATCCATCCAATTGCTGCATCCGAAAGTGAAGAATAAGCGAAAATATGGGTATAGGGACCTGAAAATATAGAGTAAGGAATTATTCATCTTCTCTCCTTTTCTTCCCAAAGGCCCTTATTCAGGGACCCTGTTTTGCAATTGCGAGCGTTCCTTTCATCTTACTCTTCACTATCAAGTCTACCACCACAATTGAACTTCACTGCTAACGACAGGCATCGCAGGATTGGGGTTTAAAGACAGTATCCGGGCTCGAGCCATTCGTAGAAGTCCTTCCTTGCAAAAACGGTCTGGTACTTACTCTCTAATAGCGTCTCATCTTCGCGGCGTGAGTGACAGTGAGAAGTGAGAAACGAAGGAGCAACGGTTCTCAAAAGTGGCACTTTTGAAGCCTTCCTAGTTGGCCCGCCCACTGAAAGTCAGGAACGCAGAGGCGTTGTTCTCATTTTTTGGATGGTATTAGCATCGGATGTGAGGAAACGATTAGTGATTAGTGGCGGCAGCAGTATTTCGTTCATTAAACGTCTATGCTTTTTTCTTTTTTTCTTCCCTGGAGAGTCACTGAACGACTATAGCGGTTTCTCATTGAACGCAACCATCCACAATATGCAATCGCGAGGTCTGTCCATGAGCTCGTCAATTTTCTGTTCCTTTCAGCGTTCCTTCGTATAGATGGAGTTCCCAGCCATACATAGTAAACTGGCAATGTTTCAAGATTCTCCTGGCCTTAAAGACACATAGTACGCTCACACACATTGAGGGTGTATGTGACTAGCAGCCCCCAGCTGTCGAAGCATAGCGGTTTCCCCGTTCAAACATGCGCAGGAATGGAGATACAGGACCGTGAAACACGCTAGTTCGTCCATGCTCCGCCCAATGCCTTTTTGCGGCGCAGATTCCCGTCCTTCATAACATCCGTCGTAAGCGCGCGTGTCGCGTGCGGCTCCTTGGCACTTTGCCAAGTCCTTTAATTGCGCTTTCAAGTACAAGTAAAACGCAATTTCCTGATGCGGATAACATTGAAGGTGCTGCAAAATAAGAACAGAAGATGATGACGAGGGTCAGAACTTAAAAGCAACATGTAGCACTTCTGAACTTCCTCGGATTTGGGTGCTGTATGGTCCACGAACGATGAAATAAAAACGGCACTCCTTAGTTTATCAGCAAAACGCATTTCTGTGTGAGCTAAAATTCTGAGGATGTTGGTCATGTTCAAATCCATGACAAGAGAGATTGGGAAGATGACACAGGCTAGAATGACAGTTTCACGATTAAATGTAAATAAAGAACAACATATGAAAAAATCAAGAAAAGGCAAATTAGATGAATTGGCCCGTAAATTTCTATGATCCGGCGCGAATACGGCGCCAAAGCCATAGAAATACTTAGAACGAAAACGAAGTGAGGAGCTTGAGGTGTTTGTTTTCCAAAATAGAACCAAACACACAAAATTTTTTGGATTTTTTTATTTAATTGTGGGAGTACGCGGGCTCTTGATGATACTGCCAATGCGCCGAGTTGCTCTTTGATTCTGGCTCGTCGTCCATCATACGTAGTGTTCTTATTTTGTGTTGCCCTTCGGTGTTTATCCGCCCATCACGGAATTGTCATTTTATTTGTACTCAAAGCGCAATTACAGTACTTGGCAAAGTGCCAAGAGAGCCGCACGCGACCCGCGCGAAAGTGACGGCTGTTAGCATGGACGGGAGTTTGCGCCGCAAAATATGATTTGGCGCGAGCCATGAGGCGTAGGTGTTTTCACCGGTCCTGTATCCTCATTTCCTGGGCTGTATTGCGGGTCGGGGAACGACACGGTCAACAGCTGAGGCGGTGAGTGATAGTCTCATACACCTTATGTGTAGTTGAGAAGTCCATGTGTCTTTATATGTACTACCGTGGAGTCCCGTTGTTCTTTAGCCACAGTTCGTATGCTTTGGTTATCCAGATTCGTTTAGGCAGCGGTCCGCGATCAACACCAAATGTGTAAAACCATCTACTGAACGAAGCGGATGTCGGCAAACGCAGGAATCCACGGCTGGGAGTCGAATCGAAGTTTGTGTTGACGAGGGGCGTACAATTCACAAGGCTGGAGTGAGCTCCTGTCCTGTTAATCCCGCCCCGACTGGTTGACAGTTATCAATGCTTGCTGGCATTGATATACGCTGAATTTCTAGAGTTCCGAGGCGGCGACGTGTATTGGAGAACTCACCAGAAGTTTGCGAAACTCGTCCACATGCCTTAAATTTCATAGGGTCTTATTTCACGCTCTTCCACACCTTTTTCCTGCTTTTTTTGATTAGTGCTTCATTGGCCACCTGTTCTAGCAAATGTGACCCCTGAAACCTGCCAAAGTCCATCGCGGGCGCTGTCTTTAAGTTGCAGGTTTTCGCAAGGGAACCGAGAAAAAATGTCCAATCTCATGTCCACGTAACCCTTCTCTTCTTTATCTACCTCAATCTGTAATGGTCCACAGATGGAGAGTCACTACAAGGAGCGTGAACACCTGCTCCTTGTGTTTGGGCGATGAAGTGCATTTTCATTGGTGCTAACAAGTGTGCATATTTGCGCGCGTGTCTGTACGCTTATGTGTGCACGTTTGCGTGTCTGCGGTTGTGTGTACATTTGCTTGTGTGAACGTTCGTTGTGAGCGTGCGTTTAAGTGCATAGATGTTCGCGAGGGTGAATCTTGTGCTCCCTCGCTCTAACCCTTCACAGTAAAAGTTTTCTCCCAAGCAGGTCTATTAATTCAGTACGGGTTATCAAAGCCGTAGGCACTAGGTCCCAACCACTAGAGTTTGGAAGTGCCGCACTTTACTTCCCAGTAAAAATCGATTATCCACAGAATCTAGCAAATAGCTATTATTTTGACAAGTTTTTACTGGTGTCATGGTTGGCAAAACTCGGTTTGATCAATGTTTCCCCTTGATCGCCCCCAATTAATGCACGGCACATCGATACCGATAATTGCTATAATAGGGGAAATAGCCCTGTAATACAGTACTACTACGAGCGGTGGTAAAGTACACACATGATACTCACGAAATTTGGGAATTAATTGACGTAACAAATAATAAGGTCTTGGGACAAGGCAAATTTGTCTAGCCACTCA